CATTGTCGCTCGGCTCTGGCCTGAACTTGGAAGTCGTCAATGTGGTTTCGGACCTTGTAGTTGATTGCCATCTCGTTGGCGGATTGGAAAATGGTCTGGCCCCAGTTAGGGGCAAGAGCATTAGCCTATAGTGTTGTGTGAGTTGTCATGTTTCCGCAGCCACGAACCGAGAACAGGTGGCTCCCTCTTACCTCAGTGACGACGTCGCGCAACTCCTCCTCCATCTCCTTCTCGGCCCGCTGGAACCTCTTCCACAGATCGTTTCCGACGCTGCCTCGCTGGAGGAGCGTGCTGCAGGCCTGCTTGGCCGACCGGATCTGGACCAGGCGATGGAGATCTTCCACTGCGCGCCGCAATAGGGCGGCCTTGAGGACGCTGTCGGGGACTCGCTTTTCACCACCGTCCTCGGGGGTCAGGTGGAGAAGACTAAGGTAGATGTTTCGTTGCAGGTGTGGGCTGAACCAAGGCTCAAGGTTCGCACTCTGGGCTGCGAAAACGGGACGGAAGCCAACCGTGTTAGTCGAGTACAGAGACAGTACGCATCATTGTTCCAAGCTGCCGGCCCAGGAATAGGGGAACGGTAGGCTCAAGAGAACAGGGATGGAATTGAGGCCACTCACCAGCTTTCCGCTTGCGGTAGATTGTCGAGAATGTCATGAGGGCACCGCCCAAAACGATGACATAGGCGAAGGGGAGCAGAAGCCCCTTCCAGTCGATCTCGGGAATCATTGTAAATTCGAAAGAAGCAAATGAATGAGAAGAATAGAATTAATAGAATGGATAATGCAAAGACTACTCTGGTGAGTCGCAGGCCGTTGCGTGACTGAGAAGGAAAGGTGTGAGTTGTGTGGGCAAGTCCGCGAACGTAAACTGCCGGTTCTGGTATGCGATTTTGACTTTTGGACAGATAGCCACAGCGCTGTTGGACAGTGCTTCCAGGGACCTCGAGAGCCCGAAGCACACAAGCTGGGCGCATTTTGGCGGAAATGCAGGTACGTACCTTCAGTACCTCTAATGTACACGCTGGCTTGTCTCGAGGGGCCAGCTTACATAAGGCAGGTAGCTGTGCTATTTCGGGACATCTGTCAGGAAAGGGCACCATACTGTATACGGTATAGGCACGGCACACAGAAACACTGGGGCCGGGTGCGTTATGTAAGCACTCAGTAACAGGCGTTACGTAGTTGCCGTCCATACAAACAGTCTGCCTAAATCAGTGCGAATGACGCTCGTGCTCAAGCATCGGCCAAGCTCCACACTATTTACCCCACGGCAGTATCACACAGGCTCTCTCTCTTAGCTTCCACCACGCAACGACTACCTTCCATCACCTCAACTAAGCGCAAACATACCAGTTTCCCCTCGCCTTCTGTCAGATCTGAGAAGGCTTGGAGAAGTTATAACGTCTTCCTCTCCGATTTTGCTAGGAGAGGAACTATTTCTTGCGATCGACTCTCGAGAGAAAGCTACCGACACTTTGTCACCTATTCACGCTCACGATGCTTCTACGATGTCGGGGTCCGGATGGCACCTTCCGCGTGACGGTCGAGCCTACGACCAGTTTCTCCGACTTGGGCCACATGGTGAGGATGGATCAGTGAACTACTTGTGTTGCGCATTAATCTAACATTGCTGTTCTGTATCCAGCTACTAGAGCAGTTACCAAAGACGGTCGATCCTAGATCCATTACGCTATCAAATTCACCCACAGGTAGCGACGCCAAAAGGATAGTCGAGGTAGCCAATGTGAAGATCGGGGCTATTGGCCTCAAGTACGTCCTTGCCGGTACGGATATGGATTGTTTGCCTTGACTCACAGTGAATTTCTAGGCACGGCGATCTCATCTTTCTCAACTACAAGCATGCCGATGCCTCCGATAATTCCAACGGTGAAAGCCAACCAAAGACGACGACAGCGCGGCTCAACGGAAAGCCCGTCCTGCCCACAGAAGACGTGCCTGTAGATGTGAATCACGAACAACGGATAGCACGACCCTGGGACTTGGTTCGCCAGTCGCCTCTCGACGACCGTCTGGATCGCCAAGATGGAAAGATCCCGCGGGGCCACAACAGGATGTGCCGTCATGGTCCCAAAGGAATGTGCGACTACTGCCAGCCTCTAGATCCATTCGATGCAACATACTTAGCAGACAAAAAGATCAAGTATACGTCTTTCCATGCCCATCTGCGCAAGGTCAACGCTGCCACCAACAAGCCCGAACTCGGTGCCTCATACATCCCGCCTCTTGTAGAGCCCTTTTACAGAGTTAGACACGAGTGTCCCTCTGGCCACCCGCCTTGGCCAGAGGGCATTTGCACCAAGTGCCAGCCCAGCGCCATCACCCTTAACCCTCAACCTTTCCGTATGGTGGACCACGTCGAATTCTCATCACCAGCAATTATCGATAAGTTCATCGATGCGTGGAGAAGAACTGGGGCTCAACGACTTGGGTTTCTTTATGGCAGATACGCAGAGTACACTGAAGTTCCACTTGGTATTAAGGCAGTCGTCGAAGCCATCTATGAGCCTCCACAACTCGACGAACTGGATGGTATCACCCAAAACGCATGGGAAAATCAGAAGGAGGTCGAAGAAGTCGCAAAACTCTGTGGATTGGAGCCGCTAGGTGTAATCTGGACCGATCTGGTGGATGCTGGACTTGGGGATGGGTCTGTCGTATGCAAGCGTCATGCAGACTCGTACTTTCTATCATCTCTTGAGATCTGCTTCTCGTCAAGACTACAGGCTCAGTACCCGAAGCCTTCAAAGTGGAGCGACACCGGCAAGTTTGGATCCAATTTTGTGACCTGCATTGTCTCGGGCAACGAGCAAGGCGAAATTTCTATTTCACCATACCAGATGTCCAATGAGGCTGTCGAAATGGTCAGGGCAGATATCGTTGAGCCTTCGGCAGACCCTACAGTCATGCTTGTGCGCGAGGAAGAGGAAGACGACGGCTCTATCAGCCGAACAAGATATATCCCTGAAGTTTTCTATCGCAAGGTAAACGAGTATGGCGCCAATGTGCAGGAGAATGCAAAGCCGTCTTTCCCTGTCGAATATCTCTTTGTTACACTGACTCATGGCTTCCCCGCTCAACCAAAGCCAATGTTCACTCAGCCAGGTTTCCCAATTGAGAACCGAGAATATATTGGTGAAAGCCAGGAGCCATCAGCTCTTGCCAAGGTCCTTCGTGCTCAGAATCAGAAAGACGGCGGTGAGGGGCTATCCAACTTCCATCTACTATGCTTCATTTATCAGATGAGCATCCTGTCTAAGGTCAGTAACTCCATTCCACCCTCCCCTTCCATGGGTCGTCTTAATCTAACCTACTAAACCACCCCCTGCAGGACGAAGCAGCTCTTCTCTGCCGCGTAGCCAGCCAACATGACCTGGTCGAATCCTTCCAACTGCTTTCAACGGAGGGCTGGCAGAATCTGCAGGCCATTATCCAATCGACTGGTGAGAGAATCCCCAAGCGCCAACGCGATAATGCTTTTTCTGGCCCAGAGCCTGCTTCTACTTTTACACAACCCACTCTCCGCGAACCGGATGAGCCACTAGCTAAAAGATTTGCTGCCTTCAGGCTGAATGAAGTCCGTACCCTTCGCGAAGCATCCCTACCTGCCGCAGACGTCCAGAAAATAGAAAAAAGCAAGGCTCCGCCGCCGCCACCGCCATCGTAGTTGTCAGTTGGGAGGTGGAAATGAGTTCAAGGAGTTGTGGAGCAAGGGAAAGGCGCTGTCATTTAACAGCATCCATCAGTTCAGCTGGTTATTTTCAATCATCAAGCACAAATAAAATCGGGATATGCGACGGGTATTAGTTTCATAATGGATCAAGGAGTTACCTGCCCTGTATCTCAATAGTGGCAGCGCGGGTCAAGTCGGTAGACGGATAGCATAATAGGAAGGGCAAATCAGCATTGCAAAGTACAGTCTAAAGAGAAAGACGATTCGTCGTCATCATCATCATCATCTTTATCATTGCGATAGCATAGTTTTTAAACACGGTGGTAACTTTTAGGATTATCAACGTGAGCCCAGCGAACCTACCCTCGGGACAAACACTTCTCAAATTTCTACTTTCTACTTTCTTATCAAGTATTTCCGTGCTACTTATCTTAAATGATGAGCACTTTAGTTCTCCGTAAGAACAAAAGGTTGGCTATGCTATTAGATATGCTTGGTAGATGCTTGGTAGATGCTTAGTGCATGCTTAGCACATGCTTCATATATCCTTAGTATATGCTTGGTATATGCTTGGTTAGGTTAGGAGAATTATTTAGTCTTACTACTTTCACGAAATTACTCAGTCAATAAAGGTACATGGGAAATTGTGTGAGAATCCAGCAGCACAAGCAAGACTTCGGATAAACACTGCCAACTCATAACTGTTTTACGTTGGGCTAAATAAATCGAGCGCATGAGTGTAAGCCTTGGGCAGTTGGCAAGGGCTAAACCTTCAACATCAATTATCAATCTGTAGTCGCTTACACCTTGCAGGATCGGTGACTTGAGCATGGATTTGCCCTTTTGGAAACGTTTCCGTCAAAAGGTGCGTTATCAAGAGGTTACCTAGATGTTTGGCATGCAAAGCCACCTTCGGCTGGGAATTTGTTGGTATGAAGAAATATGTTTCACTTGGAGGCTTTTACGGAAACCAGGGGCATGGAGCCGAGTTTATTAGATGAGAGACATATTATGTATTAAATATCTAGGAAGAATGGGCGCGTCGCATTCCAACTGGCGTCGCCTCACATCCACATACTACTTGCCAGTCCGATCATCAGCTAACTAGCCTACCCCGAGTGTTTCTTTTGGCCTTCACTAGAGTGATGCTTCTTTGCAAGTTCGTTCATAGATGGAAAGTCGAAAGTGATATTGATAGGAAATCTGTACGCCTCTCATTAGTAACTCGTATGTGCCGAGAGGGCCCTGGCTAGCCTACCTTTTTGGGGTGGTGTGTTCCCAAGTGAGGAACTCCCTGGTCGAGGTGTTTATTGGGTGGTGAGCTTGTCCATGGCGTCGATATTGCTGAGATCGCCGTTCTGGGCCACGTCAAGAAGGACAGCAAGGAGGCCGACGGCGGACAGGGAACCCTTCTCCACGAGCACCTCAGTTGGGATGAGAGAGTCGGTTGCGCTGCGGCGGGCCTCGGCACTCTGCTTGAGACCGAAGCCAAGGAAGCTGATGAGCTTGTCAACCAGGTTGCCAACGGGGCCACCGGAGCCGGCGTAGCCCGTGACGCTGTAGAGAGCATCAAGGAGAGTTGGTGGCTGGGTAGCGGCCATGCCATCCGTCTCGACGTCACGCTTGAGGAGCAAGCCCAGAAAGCCGGTAGGGTTGAGGAGGCCGCCTCCCAAGAGACCGCCGCCCAGGCCTCCGAGCGGGCCAGCGACGCCGAGGCCGAGGATGCCGCCCAGGTTGCCACCGCCCAGGCTGGAGGTCAGGGCGCTGCCGCCGGTCAAGGATCCGAGGGTGTTGCCCAGCGGGACCGCGCTGCTGCCACCCAGGAGGCCGAGGCTTCCAAGGCCAGTGCTGGACAGGATGCCATCCAGTCCGAGCAGGTCAGGGGCACTGCCCTGGCCGAGGGGGTTTCTGGTGGTGCCAATAGTTCCGATGGCACTGCTGAGCGAGTTCAGGGAATCGGGGTGGAGGTTAAGGAGAGGGTTGGAGCCCAGAGAGAGGTTGGGGAGGACCTGGAGCTGGTTGTTGAGGTCGCCCAGTGCGTTGGTGGCAGTGTTGGTTCCTCCCCTGTTGCATGATCCCAAGAGGGCCTTGAGGATGTTGACGACACGCTGGATGATCTGCTGGAGGTCGACACCTGGTTCAAGTGGTGTGTCGAGGTCGGCCACATCGCGCTTGACGATCTCAAGATTGTTGAGGAGTTGGCGGAGGTCGGAGACTTCAGACAGCTCGCGGCCGAGTATCGAAGAGCCGCTGGTAGCGCACTCTCCGATGACATTGGAGAGAACATCCACGACCTTGTTCAGGAGGTTTGAGAGGAGATTGCCCGGCTGGGGAGTGTCTCGAGAGACTACTGAAGTGGCCTGGAGAGCCTCCCTAAGCTGAGCGACAACGTCCTCGTTTCTCTTACTCAGGCTTCCAGCGTTGACAGCTGGGGTAGAGGGGGCATGGACGTTCTGCACATTCTGGATGGCGGAAGAGCCGACAGCGGGAGCTGCAATGGCGTTGCCAGCAAAGCAAGCCAGGGCGATGGAAGCAGCGTTGACCTTCATGATTTCAGATTGGGGATAGGATCTTGAGAATTCGGTTGAGGTTATAAGAGGCTGGAGGCAAGAGAGCAGTTTTTTTGTGACAGACTTGTTGGTTTTGGAGGTTTGGAGTCTGATGCTGAGGGTAAAAGCTGTTCTGGGCGGGCATCCATGGCTATTATATAGGTATTCTGTGGCCTATACCACCTCGTGTCGATCGAACATCCCATGGTAGCGGTGCTGAGTAGTGTTCACCGTGCCTTCGGGTGTGGAATCCAGACTCAGATGGTGATCGCGAAGGTTTCGGTGGGCAAGAGACGGGATGACTCTGATCGGAATGCGGGTATCGATGAGCGTTGACATCGTGGACCCTGCTGCCAGACTAAATTGTCTCAATCCCCCACTGGATCTTCAGATACCCGGATGTTTTCAGATGCGTTGTAAACGGCTTCGGTCAGTTTAGGGAGGGAGCTCCAGGTACGAGGAATGCTAAGAGCTATGGAGCTTGCAGGATCTTCGGGATCTCGTGGCTCCGACATGGATGTTGTCGAGAGGGGAATGTTTCGTCATTCCAGGCGGAAGAGGACGCAAAGGAAGCATCGTCAATTCGCCAACCATGTTGAACACGGATGGTCTCTCCCTTGGTAAGGGTGGCTCTTGAAAATGTGACCTGCTACCGAGAGTCTCAAGGGCAGTATCGCGATCTGCGTCGTCGTTGGATCGCTGTCCATTATATCGGTAGCATCGATACCAGTCCGCATGATATTGAATTCCCGACCCTTTAACATCCATATGACATTGAGATTCAGAGATGAAGATGTCCGCCTAACACGGCTGGGCATTACCTCGGCGACTCAGACTGCCGTTGCAAGCGTGGTGATGAAATCCGCGTCGATTAGCACGCGAAATAACCAAAGCACATGTTTATTGTAGTTCATTGGGTGTGAGGGTGCAATTAAATCGCCGATGGTAGATCCCGCAGCATAATCTGTATTAGCTCGTGAGGCAGAGCCAATGGTATCCCGTGGTCATGGTAACCTAACCACAACCTCCACCTACCTACCCTACAGATAGATTTTCTACTTTGTCTTGGGAAGCCTCAACTTAAACTCGTTTGCAATATTCGACTCCGGAATTACCACTTCTCAATATGAGACAAAGCTTAGGTACACATACCCATGCAATTCTTCACTTCCCCATCAACAAGCTTCCGCGTCCCTGAGCTATCGCCAAAAGCGGGTTCCTCGCGTGCTGCGTGCAGATCCCGAATGGTTCGTGGCTTCCCACTCGACTTCAACCATTGTAGATTCCATCTCGCGTACGAGCGAAATCTCCCATCGCGCATCGAACATAGCTCCGGCTCCTTGATTCCTTTTTCTTCGTCAATTATGCACCACTTGATTTCATCCATACTTTCTCGTGCTAGCACTGCGTACCAACATCATCCATTCTCTGTCTGACTTCCTTTTTTCCTCTTTCTGCTTACCAACAATGGACCTAGCCTCTAGCTATAAGCTTAAAAGCGTATTAGCAGTCTCCTACCTGTGTTAAGTCTGGATCGATACTAACCACCATCAATCCCCCCCCCGCTTCTTGTCTTGCCATCGTTTGAGTCTCCGGCTCCTTTCGCCTACAGCCATTTCCGTTCGTTGAATATCAAATTTTCTATTCATTGCAGCAGTCTTCTCCTTCATTGAGCCAGATAATGTCCTCAGAAAATCATCTTCGGCTGTTGACCATGGCCAATTTACTCTAGGTGGAGCTTCTCTTTGCTGGGCATTCATCAACCGCCTTGTCTTGTTCTGGATAGATCTCTGGCTGTGACCTTGCCCAAACTTCTCCCAAAAGCGATGGCATATTTCAGTGGTAGAAATAGTCTCAAGGCCAGGGTTGATAAGGTTCCGCATATACTCCTCTTCTTTTCTTGTGTAATGATGGTTATCACCGACTTTCTGGGCGAGTCCTAGTTTGCGGAGTCTGGCGGCGAGCGCGAAGAGGGATCGGCTGACAGCAAACTCCTTCTCGAACAAAGTAGGCCAATTGTTCCTAGCCGCCTCATCGGTTCTGAGCGTAGCAAGAAACTGATCTTGCTCTTCTGTCCAAGGGTAACCAGTGTTCAGCCTAGTCGTATCCCACTTATACATCTTCGCTATGTAGCTCATCGACATCTGATTACGGTCGGTCTCGAACTTCTCTTTGAATCTCTGAATGACACCATCCCAGCTCTCTTCAGTCGCGATGAGCTGGCGCAGGTGCTCCTTTTCTTCTTGGGTCCAACGCTTCAGCCTGTTTTGCTTGTAAGACGGAAAATCCCCTACCATCGCCTTAACCTTCTTTTTCAAGCTGCCCGTTGTTCGAGAACCTTCAAACTTTTGATTGAATCTGGTAACCCTTTCGGGCCAGGTGATATCCAGGCCCATAAGGGTGTGCAGATAAGTCACCTGTTCTTCCGTCCATTTCACTTGATTCGATTTTCTTGCCGTGTGTGGAACTGAGTGATATAGCTCAGGCTCTTCTGATGCTTCTATTTCTTCTAAAGCCGCTAGCTCTGCAGGTGTCGCTGACGCTTGCGGGTCTGACTCTGAGTCTAACGTTGCTATTGAGGCCTGGGTTCCTTCTGGGCCTAGCACCATTAGAGATGGTGACATCTGTTTTGGTGATATAGGCATGAATTGGGAGGGCTTGTCTTGGGGTTCTAGAAATGTTGTAGAATAAACAATTTCTTCCCACAGCTGAGCAATTAAAAGCCCATAAGTGTTGCAGAACCCGTCAATGCCCATATTGCTCTTCCAAGACTGGATCATATCTTGAACCTGGTACAATACCCCTGCATTAGCTAAAAAGGTTTTGATCCACCTAAAAGAAAGATCTGGATTTAAGAAGCCATCAGTTCCTGCTCGTTATCGTAGTTGTAAGGATGCTTGTGAGAACTCAGAAAAGTCGGGTTCAAGGCCTCTCGCAGGATGTCTCTGGCAATTTGTGCCTCCAATGGAAGCTTTCCCTCTTGGATGTATTCCAAAACCCATCCAAAGCGCTGTTCCAGCATTCCCGCCTCTGAAATGTTCCATGACCGGTCCAGCCCAATGAAAAGGGTGTTCCAGAATTCCCTATCTGATGCAGTTGCCGAAGCTTGATCAAATAGGCTTTGATGATGCCTTCTCATGATACTTGACAGAATGCGAATTGATGATGGACGATGTTGCGCCAAGTCAGCATTCCCGCGGAGATAAGACAGTACTGTGATTGTTTCACAAGATTGTTCGTCAGCATCGGGCGGCCCAAAAGGCAGTTCCTCCATCGTCAAGGCCACTAAATTGTACCGCTCAACATCAGAAACCCAAATCTGTGCTGCTTGGTCTTGTTCCTCTTCTGCTTGAGGACGCACTTCCAGTCGCGCGGAATGGTCCTCCTCAGCTCCATACAAGCCAGAATAGTTCTTCCATGCTTGACTCATCTTTGGTTCATCGAGGGCTGGGTCATACTTCCATAAGGAAAGAGTTTCTGCATACTGATCATCCCATACAGTGTAGCCGTAGTTTCTCCATAGCCGCATGAGTTGGCAAGTCCCGCCTGGTAGGATTCGTTCAGATGGCACGCCACTGGCCAAAAGCTCAATTTGAACTCTGTGCCATAGTTCAATTAATATGGGCCAAGAGATTAGGGGAATTAAGCGACCCCCTTGCGCACCCTGGCCCACAGAGCGTACAAGTATTGCTCTTGCGCAATGCAACATCACAGCTATCGTACGGCTGGAAATATATCGGCTTAGCGGTTTCCTCCGAATCGAAAGACGCCTCGGAACATTTCCTACTTCAGTTCAGTACGAGGAGAATCCCTGTTTAGACTTAGGAATACTCACTTGTTATCTTATCCCAAACGCCTCGCTGGAGAAGGCACGAAAGGTTTGTAGGAAGAAAGACCAAAAGGAAACCATCCGGGAAGTCGCGCGTGCGCCCAATAAACCGAGTCAACGCGTAGACTTGTCTCGAGGTGTCCAAGCCGTCTTCAAGATACGGGATATGAAAGAAGAGATCATTTTCGTCCTTTGGTGGATGAACAAGCTGCTTTTCCTCTAAAATCTGCTTGAAGTGATAAATCATTGCCCAATTGGCTTCCCAAAAGCTAGCTCTTATTGAAGAGAGACCAGAGTTAGGGATTTCACTTAGTGTCCGATACATCAAACGAATTCGTGCGATGCTCTTAACTACACCTCGTGTATTTAATAACCGAGAGATCAAGTCCCAGTCAATCTTATTCCAGGCATAAATTTCGGATTTGTGTTGTTCAAAAACTTCGAGGAACACAGCAATCTCATCAGGCGACCAATAGAGAGCCAACAAAGGGGCGCCGAAACGGACACGCTGTTTCGAAGGCAAGGCTCGATTGAGACCCTCGAATCTCCATTGTGGTAAGTTTGATGGTCGGATAACCTGTTCGGTTGCTAGTCGGTACTCTCGACAGATGTCATTGTTCTCCAACTTCAAAGACTTCAAGAATAAGACATCTATGGCTTCGGCAAGCGATAGAAGATAATTGTAGTGAATATTTCCATTCCCCACTGCTGAGCAAGGAAAAGGGAATACGGACAGCACAGCAAGCTCGATAGAAGCTACTGTAGGACTCGCCAATCTTTGGTGAGCCCACAGAATGTCTGGGTCCGAAGTCTTGCGTCCACTTCGCGTGGTCTCATCAGGTCGTAAGAAAAGTTTGCACTTCATTATGCGGCCAAAATGGACAATGGACCTGGAACGAATCCCCCGATTGCCATTCTTAGCCTTCACTTTAGCACTTTGCCCAACATAGGCAAGGTCCGTCTCATCATCTGGTTGCCACCCAAACAGCGCATATATTCCAATCACGCTTGGAATGCCCTCTCCATCATCGCTTATCGGCCAAGTCTCAAGAATACTTGAGATGCGTTCTGTTCTGCCTTGTCCAAGTGCAGCACGGGTCCTGAGAGACCTGACGTGTGGGTGTAGCAAGAACTCCAGGATAGCATTTCGCGATTCTTGAGATAAGTTCGCCCTAATCCAACGAAACATTTGCAAAGAAAAGGGCGAGTTATCTATTGAAGCCTCTGTGGTCTCCATGGCACAGTCAAATAGCCGATTCAAAAGTGTCGAGTACTAATCATCATGTCTTTTGATATCATCGAGGGCCGATTCCGGAACTATATAAACAAAAAGTTAGTCATGCCCATTACAACTGATAGGCTCATTAATTTCTTCAAGTTCGCTACTTACCAGAATTCATCGTTGAGCCGCAGGCTTGCTCCATTTGAGCGATCATCCCATCCAAGAAGGCGCTTGGCATTGCCAAGCATGCATCAGGTACATCGGCTAAATCTTCCTCCTCATCTGCAAGTTGTTCTTCGGTAACCACTGTCTCGTCTTCTTGGGTCTCAAGAGCCTGAATGTATTGTTCAAACACATCCAATTCAGATGCAAGCTTCCGTTTCAGCCGCTGCCGTCGAAGTTGATGTTCTTGCGTTCTTCTCTTTTTATGTCGAGAAAGCAGTGCGTCGTCCGCTGATAGCACTCTCTTGTTACCATACATGTAATCAGACATGATGGTTCCCCATCTTCGTTTTTGATCCGTGCTTGGATTATCAGATTCATCTTTTGACATTTTAAGTCTCGGGCAGAATACCCGGTGAAAAGGATTTGTTCGAGGCTTTAGGGCGGAAGAATATGACCTCTACTGTCAGAAAAGGGGTCTCCCTTCAGGGGGATTTTTGTGTAAGAAGAAGACTTGTTCAGTGGTGTGTGATACAAGAAATTACGTTTCAGGTAATAAATTTGAAGTCTTAAAAGAGAATGAGAGGTGATGTCCTAGTGGGGGACAAGTGGGGTCTAGATTGTTATGAAAACAAAAGTGACTGATACCGCGCCGAGATCGGGTGCATCACGTGATGATTGGTAGTAGGTACCTTAGGTACCTAGTTTTGAGTCACCTACGGTGATAAGGTATCTAATGGGTGATATAATGAAAATGGCCAGATTATCCGACGAACGTGTTGAAATCGACTTTTGCCGACCAATGTGCTGCTGGGATTAATAAGTAAATAGATCACAGCCAGGATCAACTGCACGAGGCACTGGCTCCCTGGACCTTGCATCATCAATACCTGCTAGCCAGGGTGCTGTAGCCAAAGGATCTGGGGTTTGGACAAGAGTTGCGGTGTCGGAGCCTGTCTGAGTAACACAGACGGGCTGGGGGAATGACATGCGCGTCTGCAATTGGAGTCATTGCAGATATAATTTCGGAGCAGTGACCCAATTGACCCTCCCGAACAACGGCGGACCTGAGATATTACCGCAAATGAGTTTTTTTCTCGTGCTAGCATTCTAAGAGCGTGCATTGGCTGCTGTTGCGTGGTCACCATCCGGTTCGGATCAGCGTTTAGTGTCGAAGTTGTTGGGAGCAGCCCTGCGAGCTAGCCTCAGATAGCCCTAGCGAGTTCTCTTATCAGCGCCTATCAGCACCACTCTGAGAGGCTCCGCCAAATTTTTTTTACGTCGAGCTTGCCCACACTCTCCCAAGGGCCATTCCCCCCACCAGGCTTTTGCTCAGTCACCGACTCCCTCGACACTGGCCGCGAACTCTCCCTTGTGCTTGCCCAGCATACCTACTGTCAAGCAGCCTTCAATTGGGAACTCGCAACCACCAGGCAGCTCGCCGATCAGTGCCACGGAAGCATTGATCTGCTGCGATGCCTCTCACCACCGCTGTGCTCGCTGGGCGCACTCCGGCCCTCCTCCGATGTGGTCCCCAAACTCTGGCTGCTCGCTCCTTCACCGCAGCTGCCTTCAAGGGCCACACCCGGACGGCCTTGAAACCCAGCCAGCACTTCCAGAAGCGCCTGGGAACGGTATCTATTGTCCGCCCTTATAGCGCCTCGACCCAGGAAGCCAACCCCAAGGCATATCTTGATAGTGGGGTCATCAAGCCCAAGCAGACCGTCAGTGTCAAGAAGGTTCTTGTCATTGGTAGCGGCGGCCTAGCAATTGGCCAGGCCGGTGAATTCGATTACTCAGGTTCGTCGCCGATGCCTTTTCTTGGCTGTCTTCTTTGAGCGGGCCTGGTGAGACAAGACCAATTGCGAATAGTGGCTAACCGGGTGCTGCCTCGATGTAGGTTCTCAGGCTCTCAAGGCCTTGAAGGAAGCTGGTGTCGCTTCCGTGCTCATCAACCCGAACATCGCCACCATCCAGACCAACCATAACCTTGCTGATGAAGTCTACTACCTTCCCGTCACCCCCGAATATGTTTCTTACGTCATTGAGAAGGAGAAGCCTGATGGCATCTTCCTTTCTTTCGGTGGCCAGACCGCCCTCAACCTGGGTGTTGAAATGCAGCGACAGGGACTCTTTGAAAAGTATGGTGTCAAGGTCCTCGGCACCAGCGTCCGCACCCTCGAGCTCAGTGAGGATCGAGACCTGTTCGCCAAGGCCCTCGAGGAAATTAATATCCCCATTGCTAAGTCAATTGCTGTCGGCACTGTTGAGGAAGCTCTTGACGCCGCTAAGACCATTGGCTACCCGATCATTGTCCGTGCTGCCTACGCCCTGGGTGGTCTCGGCTCTGGTTTCGCCAACAACGAGGAGGAGCTCCGAAACATGGCTGCCCGATCTCTGACCTTGTCTCCCCAGATTCTGGTCGAGAAGTCGCTTAAGGGCTGGAAGGAAGTTGAATATGAGGTCGTTCGCGATGCTAACAACAACTGTATCACTGTCTGCAACATGGAGAACTTTGATCCCCTCGGTATTCACACCGGTGACTCTATTGTCGTGGCACCCAGTCAGACTTTGAGCGACGAGGAGTATCACATGCTGCGAACCGCCGCTATCAAGATTGTCCGCCACTTGGGCGTTGTTGGTGAATGCAACGTTCAGTACGCCCTGCAGCCCGATGGTCTTGACTACCGAGTCATTGAGGTCAACGCTCGTCTGTCCCGTTCATCTGCTCTGGCGTCTAAGGCTACCGGATACCCTCTTGCTTATACCGCGGCCAAGATCGGATTGGGCCACACCCTACCCGAGCTTCCCAATGCTGTGACCAAGACGACCACGGCTAACTTCGAGCCTTCCCTGGATTATATTGTCACCAAGATTCCCCGATGGGATCTGGCCAAGTTCCAGCACGTTAAGCGTGATATTGGTAGTGCAATGAAGTCTGTTGGTGAGGTCATGGCCATCGGCCGAACCTTCGAGGAGTCTTTCCAGAAGGCTATCCGTCAGGTTGACCCCCGATTCGTTGGATTCCAGGGTGACCACTTTGAGGATCTTGACTTCGAGCTCCAGAACCCTACCGACCGCCGATGGCTTGCGGTTGGTCAGGCTATGCTTCACGAGAACTATTCTGTCGACAAGGTCCACGAACTCACCAAGATCGATAAGTGGTTTTTGTACAAGCTCCAGAACTTGGTCGACTGCGTCCGCGAGCTCGAGGCTGTTGGAAGCCTCGAGGGCTTGAAGAAGGACCAGATCCTCAGCGCCAAGAAGATGGGTTTCTCTGATCGTCAAATCGCCAATGCTGTCAAGAGCACAGAGGACGCCGTGCGAGCTCAGCGTCTGAGCTTCGGCATCCGCCCCTGGGTCAAGAAGATTGATACCCTCGCTGCTGAGTTCCCCGCCGACACCAACTACCTCTACACAACCTACAACGGCTCATCCCACGATGTCACCTTTGAGGACCACGGAAAGATTGTTCTTGGAAGCGGTGTCTACCGTATTGGTAGCTCTGTCGAGTTCGACTGGTGCGGTGTTGCTGCCACCCAGGCTCTCCGTGAGATGGGCGAGAAGACCATCGTTATCAACTACAACCCGGTACGGTTCCACTCGAACGGTTCCTCTTTTTTGACTTGAAATAATTCAGTTTTTCTTCTTCTATTGTATGCTATACTAACATTGAGATTTGATTTTAGGAAACTCGATCAACTGATTTCGATGTTGTTGACAAGCTCTACTTTGAGGAGTTGAGCTATGAGCGTGTAATGGATATTTACGAGTTGGAGCAAGCCTCTGGTGTGGTTGTCTCTGTGGGTGGCCAGCTTCCTCAGAACATCGCTCTCCGCCTACAGGAGGCTGGTGGAGCCAATGTTCTGGGCACTGACCCCAAGGACATTGACAAGGCTGAGGATCGTCAGAAGTTCTCTGAGATTCTGGATAGCATTGGTGTCGATCAGCCAGCATGGAAGGAGCTTACCTCGGTCGAGGAGGCCGAGAAGTTCGCTGATGAGGTTGGCTACCCCGTCCTGGTTCGCCCCAGTTATGTTCTCTCTGGTGCTGCCATGACCGTCATTCACAGCAAGGCCGACCTCAAGGACAAGCTTGAGGCCGCCGCCGACGTCTCCCCCGACCACCCCGTCGTCATCACCAAGTTCATCGAGGGTGCCCAAGAAATCGATGTCGATGGTGTTGCCTCCAAGGGTGAACTGATCGTCCACGCCGTCAGTGAGCACGTGGAGCAGGCTGGTGTTCACTCTGGCGATGCTACCCTGGTTCTCCCTCCTGCTAATCTTGATGAGTCTATCATGGAGCGTGTCAAAGACATTGCTCGCAAGGTTGCTAAGGCCTGGAACATCACCGGTCCTTTCAACATGCAGATCATCAAGGCTGACGACCCCGAGGGTGGTGAGCCTCAGCTGAAGGTGATCGAGTGCAACCTCCGTGCCTCCCGATCTTTCCCCTTCGTCAGCAAGGTCCTCGGCTTGAACTTCATCGATGTTGCAACCAAGGCCCTCATTGGCAAGGACGTCCCTGACCCCACCGATCTCATGGCTGTCAAGCGTGACTACCTTGCCACCAAGGTTCCCCAGTTCTCCTGGACCCGTCTGGCCGGTGCCGACCCCTTCCTGGGAGTCGAGATGGCTTCTACTGGTGAGATTGCTTGCTTCGGCAAGAATCTGGTTGAGGCTTACTGGACCTCGCTTCAGTCCACCATGAACTTCCGCATGCCTGAGCCTGGTGAGGGTCTCCTCTTGGGTGGCGAGATCTCCAAGCCCTGGCTCATCCAAGTTGTGGACTACCTCGCCCCCCTCAACTATAAGCTCTATGCTGCCAGCAACGAAGTCAAGCAGTACGTCGAGTCCGAGGCCAAGGGCAAGGTAGAGGTGGAGGTGATTGAGTTCCCCAAGGAGGACAAGCGTGCTCTCCGCCAGGTGTTTGAGAAGTACGACATCCGCGGGTGCTTCAACCTCGCACAGGCCCGTGGCAAGACGACGCTGGATGTCGACTATGTCATGCGCCGAAACGCCGTCGACTTTGGCGTTCCTCTATTCATGGAGCCTCAGGTAAGATTTCGTCCTAGCTACAACTTTGTGATAGGGTAGCCCGTATGCTAACTATGACTCTTTAGACTGCCATTCTCTTTGCTCAGTGCATGAGCGAGAAGCTGCCCCGCAAGGAGGGTGTTCCTTCCGAGGTCCGCAGGTGGTCCGACTTCATCGGCGGCAAGCCTCTGTAAGCCAATTTAAAAAAGGGATAACGATAGCAAAACGGGAGGGGGAAAATGGCGTTTTGTTCTGGTTGGATTCCATTCTTCAGTCTTGGATATGTGTGCCCGTTGGGAAAAAAAAAGTGAGGCTTACGGGGGATTTTGGTTTTTTTACATCTCTTGAGGCCACGTCTTTTTTCTTACATTTTCCATCCAGACTGATGTGTAGTACTTTTTATTCCCCAATCTCCTCCTCTTGACTTGATTTGATATTTGCGGGAGCCGAAAAAATTGTGTTGATAGATGGGAGTCAGGGCACAATGCGAGAGGGAGGGAAAGAGAGGGAAAATACAAACAAGCGGAGTTCTTGAATAATTTGCTACTTGCTTCCCCAACATGAATGTGAGGTTGAACTACCCGAGCTTGTAATGAATAAGGTGATGAGTAGGTAGGTAGGAACAGTTGAAAAGGATATGTGACACGCCGGACATTCTCTTGGCGGCGTGACTTAAGGAGGTAGAATATGATACAGGCTCTCAAGGAGGCCAGGTGGAAACATTGAGATGATGACAGGAAATCTTGAGCTAATGGATCAGCAATTGATGACAAGACGAACAAGAATATGCACGCAATTCGCTAGGCAGTTAAAATGAGAATCCCGAATAGCACCCAAAATTTTCACTCCCCCATAAAAAACAAATTTTCCGCAGAGGGACATGATCTTCCAAGGTCAAATGGTGAGACAATGTCCGAGCAGTATGTACAGTTAGAGCAGGGGTTCATATGATGGAACATAAGTAGAATATCATATGTATGTGTGTGAGTCCGCATGCGCTTAGCTCGCCTTTCCGTTTTTGGACTGGGCGTTGAACTTTGCGACCTCCTCGCGGACCCTCTTGTTCACTCGAGACTGCAGCTCCGGGCGGTAGCCCAGGAAGAACAGGATCTCGAGCCAAACGAACATGGGAGCGAGGAAGAGGGCCTGGACGACGTTGTCCAGGAGGGCCGGGGCGCGGCCCTCGAAGGCGCCGTGGCCGACGAACTGGAAGATCCAGCAGGTCACATGGATGGCGACGGCATACTTGAGGGTGGTGTCCGGGTTGGCCAGCCTCATGTAGTTGCCAAAGGCGGCGGCTCCGAGGCAGATGGCCGAGAGGACGAAGCCGGCCACGGGCTCCAGCAGCAGGTAGAGCGCCGAGTAGAGGGAGGCTGCGATGGTGCCGAGGTTGAGGTTCAGGTAGGGGAGGGTGAGCCAGGATGGCAGGCTGATGAGCGTCCCCGTGTATGTTGCCTGGGGGGAATGACTCGAGTTAGGGGCAGGCTACTACGGGATGTGGGAGTGTGGAGATGGAGGACTTACAATGGTGAATCCCGAGAAGAGAATCAAGGGCACACAGATGACATGGATCGCGACATTAATCTTATTGTGGTGGTAGGATCCGTACTGGCGGCGGTGTTCATTCAGATTAGCGAGGGCGAAGTAGAACGGACGTCAATGAGACGGGAGGCAGGAGCTTACGAAAACGAGGTGCTGCTCCAGGTCGAGCGCCATTTGGAGGGAATGAGAAGGGGTTTAGGCAAAAATTGAAGTGAATTGAGTTGGTGGGAGGAAACGCGCGAAGCGAGGTGAATGGCAACTTAGCAAGCCGATGTTGATACAGGGAGCCGCAGAGGCCGGATGGAATAATTAGGTGGTGGAAGTGGACACTTGGTGCGGTGCGGAAGGTAAATCCAGGCAGTTATTAGGTTGGTAGGTACTTGGTCTCAGCTGGGACGAAATTTTGCGAAGAAAAGATGGTGGTGTAACACCGGCAGTAGCGGAGCGAACGACGGAGACCAGCAGCGGCAGGCCGGGATTAATACAGGTAGACAGCGACGAGATTGAGGCGGCGGTAGGGCGATGAGGCAGACTTGCAGCCGGAGGAGCAGAATAAGAATGTTGGGCTGGTGCGGGCGCTTGGTTAGTAGGAAGGGAAGAGAAGGAGGATCTCAGTGTTGGAGCGTAGGCAAGCCAAACATGCAGTCCGTTTTCGCCAGCTTATAATAGCAGCCAGGCCAGGTCCCGGTACGCCCAAAGTCACTCTGTGCCTGCCTACCAATTATCGGCCCTGGCCTCGGCCGTGGGGCAGTTTGTAGACCAAATAAAAATAATAATAAAATGCCATCACGAGCCAGCCCTTCCCCGTCGATTGGCAACCGGGCTGGATTATTCGTGCATTCACGCCCACTCCTATGCAATATGCGTGCATATCCCATCCCTGGATCTCGTGCTCGCCTTGGGCACGGGCACTAGGAAGGCATCATCGTTCCGGGCTCCTATCTGCATCGCGGGACGATCCCCATGGCGTAGGCCGTCCTCCCTCTGTTCTGGCCGCCTCCTGCTCTGCGGTCGAGAGCTTCCCCATGTCTGAGGCTGTCGGCGATGGTTGAAGATTGGGGGTACATGAGGGACGAGCTCACGCGACATCCGGCCGATTGGTCTACAGGCCGCCTCAGGAGGCTTACGGCCTCAGTAATTGGCCCAAGCGACGCGGACAGCTGGCGTCAGAAGCTGAGAGCGACAAGCATGCACGTGCGCCTCCTCGCCAGTCGTCAAACTGACAGAAACCGGCATGCAGCCGTGACTGGGTGCATGTACCGCGGTGTTGTAGCGACAGTCAAGCAGTCTCAGGCGCGCCCACTTTCCCATCGCCGTGCACGAGCCACCCTAGACCTCCACCTTCGCCTTGCGCCCCTGGTCACTTCCACCGTCAGTCAGTGCAGGCGGCCGTAGTAGGTACCGGCCTTTCTGCGGCAAAGCTCAGCATCACGGTTCTGATTTTCTACCTCTCACCCAGCAGCAGCTCGACACTCACGAACACGCATCCGCGCCCCGTCATCCCTCTCTCGCCCCGCGCCCCGTTCAACACCTTGGTACGGAGTCACAGGAAGAAGCCCGAAGTGCGAGGGATCAGAGTAATCGCGTTGGGGCTTATAGTTAGCGCGACCTTGGGGGCTTCCTTTCTCTTCGATTCTCCTGGCGGCTTTGTTCGAGCGGCCGGCCCACTCGACTTCAGCCATTGTGAATTCCATCTCGCGTACGAACGAACCCTCCCGTCGCGCATCGATCAGCCGTACACTTCTTTCGCGACGATTTAATGCGAGCGGCCGTAGGACTTGGCGCGAGGGCATCGTAGTTACTTTGGGCTTGACCGCGGGATAGACACCTGACCGCCGACACGTCGGTTTACGCATCCCCGTTTCTTCGCGCATCATGTTTTTCCTCTACAACATGGAGCGCAGGGTCACCCTGCACCCATCGTACTTTGGTCGCAACATGCACGAGCTTGTGACGAGCAAGCTGCTCAAGGATGTCGAGGGAACCTGCGCCGGGAGCTACTACATCATCTCCATCATGGACACATTCGATATTTCCGAGGGGCGCATCCTTCCTGGAACTGGCCTGGCCGAGTTTACCGTTGGATACCGTGCTGTCGTTTGGCGACCATTCAAGGGGGAGACGGTAAGATAGCCGTGGGCTGAACTTCCTGTGGTGCGCAAGGCTGATGCATGGCAGGTGGACGCTGTTGTCTACTCTATCAACCCACAGGGCTTCTTCGCCCAAGCTGGGCCTTTGCGCCTCTTCGTATCGGCCCATGTATGTTGAGAGCGGCTTCATGAGACAGACCGCATCTTGCTGACATGCGTTGCAGTTGATCCCCGGTGATATCAAGTGGGATCCCAATGCCACCCCCCCTCAATTCACTAATAACGAAGACACTGTCATCGAGCCAGGGACTCACGTCCGCGTCAAGATCATCGGTACAAGAACCGAGGTCGGAGAAATGTGGGCTATCGGCAGTATCAAGGAGGATTACCTTGGGTACGCTGCCGCCGCATTTGCGATCCATTACTTGTCCCTAATGCTGATATGTGATTCCAGGTGTCTTCAGGGTTGAACTCATTTAGTACCTGAGAGAGTGTTTACTCTTGGTCTATTAACCATCCTAGGATTCAACCATTCCAAGCCGTCTCCAGAGACGCATCAAATCTGGACATTGGCCGCCTTCTTTACAGCCTTGGGCGGTCATGGTATTGAAAGTTGATGGATATTGACGATCAAAGGCTTCTTTCTAATAGATCAACGGCTAACTGCTTGGAGTTTAATACCGCTCTCCTGGCGTCATGTGTTGGCCTCATTCCATTTCCAGTTCATGCATGCAAACAAGGAGTTTACCGCAGTGCTCCTTGCAGGATGAGTTTCTCCGTTTCGAGTTGGCCGCATAAAAGTCTGGTGTTTTTCAAAGACTTGTTTCGTACACTAGACATTCATTAGTAGCTGAAATGACAATATGCAATTGGATACCCAGTCAAGGCCGAAGCCAGCCGAGTGAAAGATGTTCGAGCTCCCAAGGTGTACGGTGCAAGTTAATTGACGAGAATGCAGCTGGAGACCAAGGGATGCGCTTGCAATTGATCAAGATATTCAGCTTTTCCTGAAGGGTCTGCTGCCCAGAGAATCCGAGACGATGTCGGAGCAACCTCATCTCCCCGCATCATTGCTCCCCTCCGCTCTCCACTCCCCGCATCCTGCTCAACACATACAACTGGCAAGCTCATGACTTGGCCTATCCGATTTATTCAGCCGGAATCGCAGCTGCAGAGCACTCGGGATCCCAGTCCCAGGCACCAGGCCCATATATACTTCCACCCCTATACGCCTCTAGCCTCTGATTGGAGATTGCATCACAACCTGGCTCAGTCTAACAACACAATCACTTAGTCTCCTCCAGACACCCCCATCCGAAGACTTGCACATATCTGGCTGGAATCCGTCGCCCGCCTGAAGTCCCACCTATTAAACTCCACCTCGCCGTCCGTCGTGAACATGCGTAGACTTGTCTCTAGCTTTCGGCCATTATACCGATCTCTCGGTTCGTCTCCTGCTTGCCAACCGAAACGCTGTGCTGCAACAACCAGACCCATAACGATGCAGTCCTCGAACAGACTCAAAGTCGCCCTGGCGCAGGGTCGACAGGCCTTTGGCGCCTGGCAGATGCTGCCGGGGGCCAACATCTCCAGGCTCCTGGCTCGGACAAACGCCGATTGGGTTTGCGTGGACTGTGAACATGGCAACATGGACGGTATGGACTCATGCTCCCGCCCCAAACTAACAAGGGATGGAGTAAAGGGCATTTGGAGAACTGAATTCTTGCTATCGCAGATGGAGCTATGCATGATGCCGTTCCTGCTATCGCGGCTCTCGGAGTCTCCCCAATCGTTAGACTCCCAGATATGCAGTCTTGGATGGTCAAGCGTGAGTGGACCTTGCTGGATGATTTTGAGAAGTGCGATGCTGATGTTCTTGTAGGCGCTCTGGACTGCGGAGCTCATGGTGTATGTTACGAAACTGGGAATCATGCTCCTTGATAGAACACTTACGTGACAACCACTTAGATCCTCGTACCGCTGCTACGCACCGTCAAGGAAGCTGAGGATCTGGTCCAGGCTGCCAAGTTCCCCCCGCTCGGCCGACGAGGTTTTGGCTCGCCCATCGCCATGGAGCGCTTCAGCCCCATGCCCACCTTCACGCAGTACCTGCAGCAGGCCAACGACACGCTCCTGACCATTGTGCAAATCGAGACCCAGGAGGCCCTCGACGCTGTAGATCAGATTGCGGCGGTTGATGGCATTGACGTGCTCTTCATTGGACCTTTTGATCTAGGTGGGTTTCCTCTACTTTCCCAGAGACTCTATTTCCATAAGTCACCAACATGGTACTAATTACGAGAAATGCCTAACTGCAGGCAACAACATTGGCCATCCCATTGTCGGAGCAATGGCACCGGAGCTGAAGGCCGCCCTGGCTAAGATCCTGGAGGCCAGCCACAAAGCCGGCAAGAAGTGCGGCATCTACTCTACAGGGGGCGAGCAGGCAAGGCTGTTCGCCGAGCAAGGGTTCGACATGATCTCTTTCGCGACCGACTACACCCTCCTCGAGTCCACAGTCAAGGATTCATTGGCCATCGCCTCGGGGGGACCCAAGGCCGCCAAGGGCGTGTCGTATTAAGTCCAGTAGCTGTATATACATGGGATGCAATTTGTTTTTTCTTGTGGGTGTAATTGGCCATTCAAGAAGTGGTGGCTGTTACTTGCTCTCCACCTCATCCATCTTGGTTTGCACCTGCTCAGGCGTGAAGCGATGCATCAGCTTGACGGCCTTGCTGGCCGTGGTCACGTCCTCGCTGGGAGAAGTGCTCTTGCTGATGTGAATCTGCGAGGTGGGGAATTCTGAGCTGGAAGCGTTCGCCGCAAAGCCAATTGCTCTTCTAGTATGAATAGAGACGATGAAACTTACGACGGGGACGTCAAAGTCATATAGATCCCTCCACTTCGAGCCCTTGACGTCAATGTTCTCCTCGACGTAGGCAAACGGCCTGGCATCCCAGACCTTGGACAGCGACTCCTTTGCTTGGTCGCACATGCCGCAGCTGGGGCGGGTAAAGAGAGTGATTCTGCATGATTGCAGGAGGCGCCTTGTAGCAAACATGGCTGTATTCTTGGGCTACTTTGACTTTCTGGAAAGCTGCAAGTAATAATAGCTCTGACCTTCGCGTCTGGTAGCGTCCCCCAGTGAGAATCGACAAGGGTTTAATCGCATGTCGAGCTATACCAGCTCGTGGAGTATTGCCATGGATTCCTTGACTTTCTGGGCTGTCTTATTGGCCAGGGCCTAGCTCTTTCACCCCGCATCTAAAAAGGAAGGCGGTGAGGGTCCTTAGCTCTGAGCAGGCAGCCCATCGTCATGCTAAATTTCTAGAACATCCCACCCCACCATCAACGCGCAGTACAGCACCTGCTACCTACATCTTGTGCTAAGCCTTCTGGCAGCCGACGTTGTTTATAACATTCCAATTCTCTGGCAGTAGTTTCACTCGATCTCGAATCCCCACGGAAATTTGGGAATAAGCATCCAACATGGCACAGAAATGTGTTCACCAGGGCTGTGGCAAGGAGTACACAGACCCCGAGGAGAAGTGCTACTACCACCCCGGTCCACCAGTCTTCCACGAAGGGCAGAAAGGTAATTGGCAGCATGTCGTCACAGCTTCACGACACCACCTCTCTACGGGTCAAATTGGATAATTACTGACCAGTGCGATGCAGGATGGAAATGCTGCAACCCGCGCGTCTTGACTTTTGATGAATTCATGGAGATCACGCCCTGCACGACCGGCCTCCACTCCACCACCGACAAGCCCCCGCAGATTGAAGAGAAGCCCAAGGTCGACGAGGCGGCGCTGGCCAAGAAGATAGAGGAGGCAGCCCCGGGGCGGGCTCCCATCCAACCTGCACAGCATGCGCCGACCCCGCCCCCGCCACCTCCAGAGTCCGAGGACGACGACCCAAGCTTAGAGATTCGGGACGGTGCCATGTGCAGGCGCAAGACGTGCGGTGCCCACTACAAGAAGGGAGATTCCCGGGATGGGGAGAAGTGCACTCACCACCCCGGTGTTCCGATTTTCCACGAGGGTAGCAAGGGATACTCTTGCTGCAAGCGAAGAGTATTGGAGTTCGACCAGTTCATGCTCATCGAAGGATGCAAGACAAAGGACAGGCATCTCTTCATTGGCAGTGGGAAGAAGGATAAGGCGGCCGGGGGAGGCGAGGAGGTTTTGACCACTGTTCGGTATGTACTTGCCCTACTTGTTGATCTTGGACTCCCTTTGAGAATGAGGTGAGGGAGGAAGACAGGGATGCTGACGATTGTGCAGACATGACTTCTACCAGACCCCCAAGTCGGTCATCGCATCCATCTTCCTGAAGAAGATTGTCAAGGACACCGCCAAGGTCGAGTTCCTGGCCAAGTCTCTGAACCTGGACCTCGCGACTAGCGACTCACCTCCCAAGCGATATGTCACCGAGTTCCCGCTGTTTGGTGCGATTGACACGGAGCAATCCTCGTTCAAGATTCTTGGATCAAAGCTGGAGTTGAATCTCGTCAAGGCGGACGGGGCATCTTGGCCTGTGCTGCGAAGCGATGACGCACTGACCGGAGAGATCCTGCAGATCGGAAAGGCTGGCCGCGCGTGATATGATATGACAATATTGGAAAGATAAAGAAGACAGCTTTATAGCCAGAGAAATTAGGACATTTTAACTGACATTTGCATGAATAGAAGACAAGGAAGAGAGAAATTGCGGCGATTTCGGAGTTGGGCGGGAAGGTTAGGTTAGTAGGGGGTGACAGTTTGGAGGGGTTATCCTCTGAACCTGGCGAATAATGAATACACAGAGTTTTGAACCGTTGCAGCTTGATGAGCAAGCTTCCTTCACCGTCCTCTGGGTCGCGGAACCCAAACTCGGAAAAGAGCGACCGAGGGCGCTATGGCGGTGCCAAAAACGTTGATTCGTCTCCGGACCGGCGAAGAAGTGAAAGTGGAATTAAGCATTGAGACCTCTTCCATCGCGTGATCCCATGCAGGCATTCACCATCGTGGTGACTCCACCGCCATGTGCACGAATATAACCAGGCTGCTGTCGGCTATCATCGCAAAGTGCCAATGCTACGGTGTTCGCAGCACCTTGGGCTGGTATTGCCAATGTAGGTAGTGCCGATTGCTCGCTTGGCTTGCTATCTTGGTACGGGACTGCGATAAGGGAGCGCAGAGCTGGGCAGAAGCAAGCTTTTGGGGCCGGAGACAAGGCGCCGATCGAATATGCTTGTTCGACGCCCAATCACAGGAGGGATCGCAGAATTTGAGTTACGAGATGAATACTGATCTGCGCGCAAGCCACTGGAGAAAGTCGGCAGCGACAGGGCATCCATCACATCAGCTGGCCCATTTCTGGCGGGAGAGTTCGTCGGGAGCGCTGATGAGAGGGCGGGTTTAGTAGGTTGCGATAAGGTCGCTCCACCCCACCACCAGGCCTGGGGCTGAGAGCGTGTTCACCAAATTCAGGTACGTAAACAGCCCGCGCTCTGACTGGCTGCAGGGCCGCCCTCCCACGTCGGTCGCCGGCCTGAGATAAGGCGGCCAGCCCATGGGTCGGTTCGCTAAACCTAACTGGTGGACCAGCGGCGGCCCCTGATGGGTCCTGAGGCGCTCTTATCCAGGCTCAAGATAAGTGTCGCTGCCGTAATTACATGCCTGCTTGCCTTGGCCGTTCATGTCGTGCGGTGCGCTGCTGCCATTATTGTCTGGGGGAAGGGAGCGGTTGCCTCGATAGACGTAACATGACTTGGGATTTTGCTCGCCGTGCTGAGATACAAAAGGCTGACTGCTTCCCCGCCACCTCCCTTCCCTCCCAAAACTAATTGAGGGTTCACGTCACGTCACCTTGCATCACCCCAAGTTTTGCTCTTATCAGCAGAGGTGCCTCCGGCTTTATCTCCCTTCCTACTTGCCCGTCCACTGCATAACTAGCATACCTATTCCGACCAAGCCAACCACGTTCGCAATCATGTCTACCGAAGTGTCGCACGGCCGCGGTGGCGCCGGCAACTTTAATGCCGATGATACCAAGTACGAGGACGGCTCCATCGTCCGTGTTGGAGATGAGGGTAGCCATGGAGATGGTGCCTACAGCGCTGGCCGCGGAGGTACGTTCCTTTTTCCCTTTGCCTCTTGGTCGTGCTCTCATCCGGCCCTGTTCCTTGTCAATGGATGAGTATCCTTTCTTGCTATCAGTGAGAGGGTATCCCTGGCACACGATGCCTTTTTATATGGACTGGACCCAGCAACCCTGGGGTTTAAATAACGAGAGACCGTGATCGTTGTCAATTCATTCGATTGATCTTTTTGTCCCATTCTCATCATCTTCACCTATCACGACTCACCTTTTGCCACATTCTTGGAGGGGATAGGCCACATATGCTTCCGATATATGCTTCCGATATAAGGTCGCCAACCCGGCTAACATATGTATTAATAACATAGGAGCCGGCAACATTGGTGATGCCGGCGTCAAGACTGCGGAGCGCAAGGACGGTGAGATTATCCCCGAGGCCGCCACCCGCAACAGCATCAACATCAACCACCACACCGGCCGGGGTGGTGCCGGTAACGAGCAGCACGCTGAATCCGAGGAGACGGCCACTCCCGCCGAGAAGCCTACCTCTATTGGGACGCCTACCTCGCCACGCAGCTTGGCCGACAAGCTCAAGGACAAGATCTTTGGCGCCTTCCAGAAATAGACACCCCGCGGCATGGATAGCAGGGATGCGATGACCTGGGGAGATGTCCGAAGATCAAGTTAGTAGCCTAGAGTTCGTTTCCCATTAATTAAGACCTGGCTTGAGAGGAAAACTGGGAACTTGGAAGGGCTGGCCAGGGTTGACGAGGGGTTGGAGGATTGTTCTGTTCTTTGCACCAACAGTGATACCTTGTTTTCTAGAGTTACCGTTATAGCATTGAATTATCTTTCTTTGATGCGCATGATGAGTGCCTGAGTCGGATGACGACGCTATGGTAGTGCGTAGTACCACCGCAACTCCACAGTTGACGTAGTTCGCCGGGGGATCTCCATCTGAGTGTTGACATGACGGGCTGGAGAGTCCGTGAGCCCGGCACAAGGAGGACCCCTCAAGTGGGTGACACTGAAATTGAGACACTGAAACATTAAGCTGCTTGTTTTCAAGTCTATGGCCAGTATTATCAGATTATTGAGTGCTAATAATACGTACTTCAGAGATAATATAGTATATATTATCACTTTTTATTGTTTTATACTGCTAAAATTCTCTATTTATTGTAGAAAGTAGTCTGTTTATAGCCAACTCTTCCATAGGTGTCTCATTTCTCCTGTCACCCACTTGCCCCTCAACCAAACGATCCCCGGACTTACGTGTGCTTCATTATGTGATGCATGTTTGAGCAGTCTGTCACTTGAGGATCTTCCCTCATCCTGGACTTTTCGGCAGTAGATCCCACCCGGCTCCCTGAGCTAGCAGTTGTTCCCCAGTTTCCACAAGCTGCTCAAACTGCCATCAGTCGAAACAATCCTGTACTGTGGAGATGGCAGATGAAGATCTGGGGTGAACAGCTGGGATGGGCACCTCAAATGTGGATGGACGGAGAGCCGTGAAGTATGTTTGGGCAATCAGTGGTGAGATCTGGGCTACCTGATTGCCATTGTCTGTCAAACTGGGTCTTTGCCGCACTTGCACTCATCCTCAGGTGACTGGAATGGGGTCCCTGGGAATAAGAGATGTTGTGATATTAAGGCTCCTCGTAGAAAGAACGCAGTACGAACCGCCCAGCGAATTGGGCACCAGTTTTACGGCATGGAAGCGCCTTAGTAGTGATTAGCGCCTTGCGCACCCACTCTCAAGGTCACGTAGCTTGCCGTGGTGTTTGGAGGCTCAATCCTCCTGGGGTTGGCTCCTGGCATGTCTAACCCATATTGATGGCATTATACGCCTTTGGGACGCACGTCTGTCACAGAAGGTTGCAGTTCCAGCGGGACCTTTGATGGAGCCAACAGCTGCCGGCCATATTTGTGTGGTACTGTGTATGGCAAAAATGACTGCCAATCCCAAACCACAGCCCATTCTACCGCGCCAATACTGGGGACGTCTCACGATGGACCAGTGTCAGTACGAAGCCTGCCGGCCATCCCTGCTTTACTCACTAATGCACAGGTAGCGCCAGAGCCGACCTGGTGAACCTTCTGGGGTTAATCGAGTGGTATGAGCGGTCAGGCATGTGAGCGAGTGGCAAGGCGACATGAACGATGCTGGTATTCATATTAACCTTGTCGTCCTTCTCTCTCCCCCCTCCGCTCACCTCCGTCTTCGCATCATGTTGTGCTGTGCTGTGCTGTGCTGCCCCCTCTCTAACATGCTTCCCATCGGCTCTCCGCTTTCGACCTACCTAACTCAGCGGCTGTGACCAGTTCGTCTGATACCATCACCCCTGCTCCTTCTAGGGATGCGATTGAGTCCGGCGCAGCATACCTGGGACTCACGTGGTGCGCCAATAGCCTAGGACTGGCGGACTCAAATGGCCGAGTAGACCATCCGCCACCCAAAGGTGACTATCATCACGGCCTTTGCGCCATTGTCAGAGACCTTGTGAACAGGCACGGGACGGGAACAGTCTGTGGGACGGACAGCCAGAGCTCCGCCGTCAGCAAACCCCACAGCGCAGCCAATCACCGGCCTCCATTCATCAACACAGGGACAAGGGTGGCTCAGGCGCCGTGACTTGATAGGCAGCCTCTTATATTAGGCTTTGGGTCCAGCCGCAATGGCCGGAAACCTTCAACCTCCACGACCCCAACTGCAAGGTCGGAGGCATCAGTCGGGTTTCTCTCACCTGTCCAAAGACTCGTACAGATCCTTCGCGACATCTGCCTTCGAGGCCGACGACGAACTCTCATACACCACCGATGCTGAGATGAGCTCTCGCAATAGCGACGGAGAGGACGGAGGCGGCGACATGCCGAGGAGGCTGCAGGTTCCCGCGTACTCTGGCCACGATGCTCGCCCGACGAGCCAGAAGGAGCTGGCGGGCTGGTATATGTATGCCTTCGCGTCCGAAACGTATATGGTCTGCGGAATTGGTATGTTCGCCCTGTTTGTGGGGGACTCGTGCTTCCCGGAAGCTTACTCACACCCAATGCGACAGGCTCATTCATCCCGATCCTCCTCGAGACCCTCGCACGCGAGAATGGCTACCTCGTATCCGACCCGACGAAACCATGCGGCAGCAGTGAGAGCAAAGGCGACGGGACGGGACCTTGTGTGGTGGACGTAATAGGCATTCCGGTCAACACGGCCAGCTTCGCCATGTACACCTTCTCCGCCAGTGTCCTCCTCCAGGCATTGCTTGTCGTCAGTATCAGCTGCGCCGCTGACCACGGCGCCTACCGGAAGAAGCTCCTCCTGACATTTGCTTGGATTGGCAGCGTTTCTGTCATGTGCTACATCTTCATCACCAAAACGAACTATATACTCGGCTCGATGCTGACCATCATCTCCAACACGGCATTCGGCGCGTCCTTTGTTCTTCTCAATTCTTTCCTCCCTGTTCTCGTGCGAAACCATCCCGAGGTCATCGAGGCCCGGGACCCATTGTCACCCGACCTGGCGAACTCGCATCTGGAATCTAGATCGCTTGCAGACTCGACTGGAGATCTTCGTGCTGACTCGACGTCTCCCCTTCTCGATGACAGTTTTGGTCCCAGCTCTGGGTATAGCCTCAAGCCAAGCCAAGACGAAGTCATGTCCAAAGAAATGCAGGTTTCATCGGCAATATCGGCCAAAGGTGTTGGTATTGGGTATTGCGCTGGGTTGTTTCTCCAATGCGTGGCTATTGTCATTCTTCTGGCAATGAAGGCTACGCCCACTTGGGCGCAGCGTGTCGTCCTCTTCATCGTCGGAGTATGGTGGACCATTTTCACCATCCCTGCCGCTATGTGGCTGCGTCCCAGGCCAGGCCCGCCTCTGACAGATGGATCGAAGGGGGGGTTATCCTACATCATATACGCCTGGAAGTCACTCTTCAGAACTATCCTGCTTGCAAGACGCCTCGTCGACATCATCATCTTCCTTGCTGCTTGGTTTCTTCTCTCCGACGCCATTGCGACTACATCATCGACGGCAATCCTGTTTGCAAAGACGCAGTTGCATATGAAAGCCTGGGCATTGGGCATGATCAATGTCATCACTACACTTTGCGGAGTGGTGGGCGCTTTTGGCTGGTCGGGCATCTCGAAGAAGTTCAACTTGAAGCCCCATCATGTCATTCTCGTGTGCATCGGTCTTTTCGAGCTCATCCCACTCTACGGTCTCCTGGGCTATTTGCCTTTTGTCCAAAGGTGGGGGGTCTTCGGGCTGCAGGAGCCGTGGGAGATGTACCCTCTGGCAGCTCTCTACGGGCTTATTTTGGGCGGGCTCAGTAGTTACTGTCGATCCTTGTACGGAGAGCTCATCCCGCCGGGCTCCGAGGCTGCATTCTATGCACTGTTTGCCATCACAGATAAGGGATCGAGTGTTTTCGGGCCCGCCATTGTTGGCGCCATTATTGATTCATCGGGGACTGTGCGGCCGGCGTTCTGGTTCCTCGCGGCACTCATCGGGCTGCCTGCGTTTATTCTGTGGTTCATCGATGTAGAAAGGGGCAAGATAGAGGGCGGAAAGCTTGCGCGAGCAATCGAGGGTGCAGAAGTTGTGGGTGGGGGAGAGACGGGCGATGATGCGGAAACTCGCGGCATGATTGCGGATTACGAGAGCAACGAGGACGCCGCACAGTACGGTCCCCCACGGTAATAGAGCATGGTAGTTCCATCATACGTTGCCTACCTACGTTGTGGTTTCTTTATAGTTTCTGTTTGCATGCATAGCGCCTGGCGTTGGGACGTTGGTGAATTACGGTTTGGATTTCTGATTGATTCACTCTATTTCGGCTGGGGGATACAATTCGACTTGGATATATGGTAATTTCTTTTACGTAGTAGCAATCTAGATGTTGTGCTGCATTGAAAATGAGCCCGCAATGAGTGTAAACAAAATCCGACTGGGCTGTCACACAGGCGACCCGAGCGTCGGTTGGTCGAGGGGGCTCGCCTCCCAGCCTCAACATATGCACCCGCCTCCTTTTATTTCATTTTTTTTCTCCCTTTCGTTTCTTTTTCTCTCCCATTCGACCCAGCTCTTCTGTGGTATCACGACTGCCAAGACGATCAAGCCGTCGCTTTGTTTACATCGGGACTTGTACTGCTCGAGGTGGTGACGAGATGCGGCCTCGGCCAAGTAACAGCCCACCTAATTTTACTTGCACGCTACTGCCCGGCGCCCATACCGGTGTACCCGTTCCAGCGAGTACATTACCTACCAGACAGCAGCCGTATCCCTCTCCAACCCCCCTGGAGTCGGCTTAGTCATCGGCCTCAACCAAAAAGATCTACTGGTAGCGCGCGGATCTCGTCCCCTCTGCCACCCTTCCCCCCTCCAGACGCGTTCTTCCATGTAGTTCTGGCGAGAATTATCCAATCTTGTACCATATATTTTCCCCTTGCTGGAGCACCGTCGTCATTGTATATTCGCGCGACAGCACCACCTCCCACGCCGTGGACTAGCTGGAGCAGAGCAAATCCAGCTCTTCGGCTTCTGCCAGATCCGTGTTGATTTTTTTCCCGCCCGCTTTGAGACCGGTCGCGTCCCCGATTGCCATTGCGCATAGCTTTTCTCAGGGCGGTCGCGTTCTGCACCACGCGCCATTCTCAAGATTTTCGCACCCGCCTCGCCATCTCGCGACTGTCCTGCCACCTGACGGAGACATTCACCATCGCCTGCAGCTTCCAGTCACACCCATCCTCAACCATTATTGACACACCGCGGTCCTCATGCCATCAACTAAGCGCCCGAGGTCCGCCGCGGACGAGAATCGTGCCGAATGTCCCTTCTCGGTCCAGACCCGGCCATTGACCGCTGCTGAGCAGCACCAGAACGCAAAAAAGCGGAAAGGCGAGGCGCACGATGAAGACAGGCGGTCGGAGTGGCAATCGCAGGCATGGCCCTATGCGCCGATTGGGAAGATGAAGAATAACGATGCGCTCGATGTCAAGTACTCGGTCTCCCCACATGTCGACTGGCAGGCCATGACACGATACAACAGTTTCGTCCGTAAGTCACCTCATCTCCCTTCCCACCCCCAGCTACCAGGCCGGCAGCACCGTCGGGATGAATTTTCTTGGCGTGAACCACAACAACTGACTAAATCGCGTCATCGTCCCAGTCGGCAAGGAAAAGTTTCACACCGACGATTTTGTCTACGTCGCGAATGAGGAGAGTATCAAGCGACTAAAGGCCACGCCGGACGGCTCTGGTGCCTCCCAGTCCCCTCGCTCCAACGACTGGGTTGCCCGGATCCTGGAGATCCGGGCCCTTAATGAGCAGAACGTCTACGCGCGCGTCTTTTGGATGTACTGGCCTGACGAGCTCTCTGCTTCGACGGTCGACGGACGTAAGACCATCCGCGGCCGCCAGCCGTATCACGGCAAGCATGAATTAATAGCATCCAATCACAGTACGTGTCACATGCACGGTCATGTCACCATCTCCTGCTGCCTGCCCTAACACGCATCATAGTGGATATAATCAACGCCGTCAGTGTGACCATGGCTGCGAAGGTCGAGTACTGGGCGGAATCGGACGAAGACGACTCGCAGTCTTCACTCTATTGGAGACAGATTTTCAACTGCAACACTACAGAACTGACCGTACGGCCACCTCACCAAGCTTTCCTTTGTCCCACTTGAGCGTGACTGACCAATAATTGTAGCCCGCGAGACCCGTGTGCAAATGCAAGACCCCCGCAAACCCGGACAAGATGCTTGTTGGTTGCTCGAACAAGAGCTGTGGAAAATGGATGCACGATGACTGCCTTCGCCACGATGCCTTAATGAGGGTGTTTGACCGCCTGGGCAAGACCACGCCGCAACTTTTCGAACCAGCTTCCGAGCCAGGATCCGTAGAAGCCGACGAGAAGAAGGATGTCCTACCTGACGCCGACACCGACAAGCAGTCCGTCAAGCTCCCAACCTACATCACCCCCCCTGGAGCCGCTGCGCCATTCCCCGCGGCAAAGAAGAAGACGACTAAGCGTGAGCCCTATCGCGGGCTGTTCGAAGCCAGCCTCCGCCTCGGTGACGGTATGACAGCCTGGCATGTCAAGGATCTGCGAGAGGGCGTCGAGGGCGGTGTGAAGGAGTGGTACGAGCAAGTTTTCTGCTTATTCTGCGAGAAATTGGTCGATTGAAGGCAATGTCAACATTGAGGGACAGGAAGCGAAAGAGAAAAGAGGAGAAAGGTATACTCTTCTAGGAGGTCTATTTACTCGGGTCTTGGTGACGGTTTCTATATTTACTGGGGGTCTGAATTTTCTTGTTATACGCTTCTTCAGGCGAGGTCCATCTGCTCCCATGGGACTTTTGACCGCTATATTTTTTGGCCGGTGCAGAAGGGAGCAAGGTCGGCAGCAGGAGCAGAGCGTGTCGCATTATCATTTTATGGGCGTTTGACTGGAGGCGTTGGAAGCTCTGTCTTTTGGGGAGGAGAGAGCTGTCTGTATTCCTGCTACGTAGCTAGTAAGATCTGTCCTTGTTCTCGGTTTGTTAAATCGCTTGATTTATTTCGAGAGGAGTACAGATGCGTAATTCGCCTAATGTGATTTCCTCCAACAAGCTGAATCCTCGCTGTGCAATTCGTCAATGGGTGAGGCGTGGTGCTTGAGAAGCTCTCCGATGGAATGAGCTGAGCTCTCTTCCCAGGTCCGGCCTTTGTTTACCCTGAAGGTAAGATAGCTGCCAAGGTTGTATCCCACCCTGGAGCTTATGTGGGGCACTCTGTCACGAACGAACCCCGCCATTGACTGTTAGCACCTGTCTGTGTCCGTACATGTAGTCTCCTCCGATCAACATTCACTCTTGTAGCGCATCCCTACCAACGACAACAAATCCACACCGACTGACCTTGCCATCTTGCGTGGCCCATTGAATTTTTAAATCCGCATACATATTAATCCCAACGCCTCCTTCTCAAGATGGCGGCTGTTGACCCTTTCGACTCGGCACTGTGAGAATCCCCTGGATCCCCCTCCAAACCAAACTCTAGAGCTGACGAGAAAACCACAGGGATCTGCTCCGACGCCTCAACCCCAAGCACACATCCGAGCACCTGAACTCGATCATCTCCCTGGCCCCCGACCTGACCGAGGACCTCCTCGCATCGGTCGACCAGCCCCTCACAGTCAAGCGTTGCAAGGACACCGGCCGGGAGTTCCTCCTCTGCGACTACAACCGTGATGGCGACAGCTACCGGTCGCCCTGGTCCAACAAGTTCGACCCTCCCCTGGACGAGGCCGGTGCCGGCGGCGTGAGCGCTGGCGAGAGCGAGGGTGCTGGCGAGGGCGCCGTCCCCAGCGAGAGGGTGCGCAAGATGGAGATCAAGGCCAACGAGGCCTTTGACATTTACAGGGAGCTGTACTACGAGGGAGGCGTGAGCAGTGTCTACTTCTGGAATCTCGATGATGGGTTCGCCGGTGTTGTCCTGCTAAAGAAGTGTACGTTCCTTCCCCTCCACCTCGCGAAATCGCAGGTTCGGCCAGGCTAACATGTTATTGCGGTGTGCAGCCTCGACCCCGGGTGGGAGCACCGAGGGTGTCTGGGACTCGATCCACGTATTCGAGGCCATTGAGCGCGGCCGAAACACCCACTACAAGCTCACCTCTACCGTGATCCTCTCCCTGTCGGCCACCGGGGGCTCCCTGGGCGAGCTGGACCTAAGCGGGAACATGACTCGCCAGGTGGAACAGGATCTGCCCGTCGACAACGACGACAGCCACATCGCCAACGTGGGCCGCCTAGTAGAAGACATGGAGCTCAAGATGCGCAACCTGCTCCAGGAGGTGTACTTCGGAAAGGCCAAGGACGTCGTCGGCGACCTGCGAAGCGTGGGCAGCCTGAGCGAGGGCGCGAGGGACAGGGAGGCACAGAGGGAGCTCATTGGCAGCATGAAGCGATGAGAGAAAGAATGGGGCTTTTGCTTTAAATTGCCGGGTTCTTAACTTTTTTTTTTGCTCATAGGCGAACTACCGCGCCGGCCACGGTGTTTACATATATTCGATACAGCATGATTCTGCAAAGGCAATCTCTCTCTCTCTCTTATCATGCGTGAAGCGGGCCAATCGTTGCTTGACATTTAAAATTATTCCGCTGGACCGCCTATCCGATAGGAATGAGACAACCACGGAGTGGTGTGCTCAAGACAGATGACGACAACGTGGCGGATGGCCACGAAAACGCCTCTGAAGGGACCTGAAACTCTGTACACGGTAAGCTTCCAGTTGATCCGATTCCCAACCCTCCAATTTTACACCTGAAGCGGTTAGAGTATAGCCCTCTACACCCCTTTCTCGTCCCTTCTTTTTACGCTTGTCTGGAAGGTCCGGATGGCAAGTTGCAACAGTAGTATCTGCCAAGAGGGTGCATGCATACATCCTCAAGTAGGTATGTATATGCGCAATGTCGCATGGTACTTGTCGACAAAGAGCCAACCGACAACACCGGATGAACAAGGAGAATGCTTTCCAGTTATACACCCCCTCCCCCTTCCGCCTTCCCCGGCTCTCAGCCGTTACGACAGATCGATCGTTGCGCTACCTTGCGAGGCGATTGGCACGGCCCGCCTCCTGAAGCCAAGTCCTGGTCATTATAGAAGGGCTGGGGAGTTTGCAGAAATGAAATTAAGAGAAATTTGCCGTTGCGGCAAGGGGAGCTCGGGTTACATTCTCTCTCACTGCCATGGACTGTTCCGGGATAGAGGCTTACTACTGATTGACGTGCATAAGGGGGAAATCCCTGAGCCCTGGGGAAGGTCAAGGAGGGAAGGTAGAGGAGGGAACAAAAATCAAGGTGGCGGGGGTGAGCTCAGGATCGACGACGACGACGATGAGATGGCGACTACTGCCATTGGTAGGCAGTAGTAATGGAAGTAAGCCGGCCGTGTCTGATCTGCCCAAGTTATTGAACCTAATTGGGGGCTGCTTATTGGCGGGACATCCTTTTTTTCTTAGCTCGTCGACAGGAGACTCCTGTTCGATTCACTCAGGATTCATCACAGATCCCACGCCCGGAGGTTTTCTCGGGGGTTTCCGAGAAAGAGAGTTCGACCACCTCCCACCTCCACCACACCATCGTTGCTCGGTATACAGCAGCTCTAAACCACGCACCAAACCTTCGGAATTGTTAATGGCTCTTTCTCTTCAATATCTCGGGCAGAGAGCCGAGTGTGGAGAATGCGTAGAGTTTGGTCCACGAGCTGAGGCCCCACGGGTGGCGACCGATGAAACGTTATGCTGGATAGTTCAACGACTGCACGGGTTTAAACCGTGAACACCAGAAGCAGGGGCGCACCCCTCCAGTCTGGCTTCTAGAGACTATCGTATCTTGGTTGACGAGCAGGCTTTCTGCTCTCATTGGTGGGAGGCCCTTGTCCCGGAGCTGTGCGCTCTAATGACCAGGCACACCGCAGGTTGTCTCGAACTGGAGGAGTTGGTCAGCTGCTATACCGCTGCTGGGTCTTTTCCAACGCGACAATGTGAGACAACATAATTAAAGACGACAGCAATAGGAAGTTGCCAATGCAATGGTAGGTTGCGTATTACCCGGCGCGGATGCAGGATAGAGACATTGGCTCATCAGGGGGTGGACGGGCATTATGGTTTCCCGCGAATGATGCCATGGCGTTTAAGTTGTGAGTTGCCAAGTCCTAACTCAAAAGTAAAAGTCAACGGGATATTCGCTCAGGGTGGGTAGAAGCAGAAAGTCTTTCAGCCCCATGTTGCCACTCCTCTTCGCACCCTTGGAGACCGGAGTCTGCCTACCTGTGGATAGCCATGACTGAATCAGAGCCCAGTCTCAAGGGGCGAGCCATTGACCACCTCGCCTGGCTAGCTGTTGACGGTAGGTAGAGGATGGAAAGGTAAAAAGAGGCGCTGTACACAATATTGCCATGCTTTCCCAAGACATTTTACCGACGGCACAGGGATCAGGGGCGCACGAGAAGGTCCTTGTGGGCGGGAATCAGGCCCATGGAGCCGATGAGACCTGACTTGAAGCAAGCAAGGCTCGAGGGGTATTCAGCTCGTAATGGTCCTGAAACCGAAACTGAAAATCGTTCATGCTCGAGTTGAGAGAATGACTTTGGAAGATAGACTGCCCGTCCGCAAGCCTAGCCCATCTTGATCTCGCCGATGCGAACGCGCTAGTAATAAGTCAGGATGATATTGCTACGTGCCGATGGAACGTGGCGGCTTAGTACCGGGCCATGGGAGACAAGACACGTTGTATGATGAGGCATGCCTGAGTGTTTTCGCAGCCGGAAGCGAGATGGAAACCTCGCCGACTGAGTCGGAAGCCCGATCACAGGAACGCGGCAGGTACGACGCGAGCACAGTCTCAACCACCAGCGCCTGAGGAATCAATTCAATTACACATCGGCAGGATCAGCTCAACTCTCCAGGGCACTAGTTTAGGCACCCTTAGTGCTTTGCAGCCCGCACCACATCTAGCACAGCGCCACTAATGATCATCAGTCGCCTGCTAGGCCCGCCTAGGATTCATGCCGCGGGCCCTAAATATTTCGGGGCGGTTCGCTCCACTGGTGACAAGCACATGGCGCGTGCCGTTCCCCTTTCCCATTGTTCCCCCCTCCTTTGTATCGAGCGTTGTCGTGCCTCGCATGCGCATTTCATGGTAATCCACGCCCTCTTGCCGGCAAGCGAGGCGGCCTCGTTAGCTTTTCCATGGCTCTGGTTACGCGCAGTACATACATCTACATGGCGGCACATGACTCATGTTTGCGCTGCGCAGCCAACCAACAGCAGCGACTTAGCGTCATGGAGGTCGCGCATTGTACGTACTAGCCACTTCCTTGTCTGTACATGAACCTCCAAGACCTCCAATGAGAGTCAAGGTGGAAATAATACTGCATAGCGTGCGCCAAAAAGAAGAGAGGAAAGGGGAGGGGGGACGATCAGAGAAGTAATCAGCCCGTTCCCGTATCACATACCCCCCTGCCTGCCTATGCCCCCTCCTCCCCACGAAACAGACAGAATGTTCTCTGGTCCAAAAAGACGTCCACCAAGGACAAGGACAGAAAATTTCCGAGCTCGAGCCACGCAGGAAAGGAGGCCGTGCGGCAGAAATGTCAGGCTACCGGGCTGCAAGAGGATAATTTGCAATTAATTAATCGCATGCCCAATATCACCCACGGGCCACTTACTTGCAGAAGTGCGAGGAGAGGAGCCGGCATGGTACAAGCCCCTCCATCTAACCATCCAGGGGGGTTCCTCAGGCCCAACCTTCAGATCACTAGCCTCACACGCGCTGGTTGTGCCTTATCTCGATTGAGTGGCTCTCTCCCATGCCGTCCGCGTACATACATATGTATTGTTGCATACATTTCCGGGTGAGGGCTTTGTGGTTGGAGAGGTCCCGGGTGACGTCGTTGCGGTGGAGGCATGCAGAGATGTGTATGAGGGAGACCTGACCAGACCTGCTCCAAGCATGGTCTTGAAACGGATCGAGCGACAGAAGCCAGATGCGGGAGAAAACGCTGCAGGCAGCTACCAAGGTCCGAGACGACTCCTTCTCTGTCTCTTTTAATTGGAACCGGATATTGTAGAGTGTGATAATCGTGACCACAAGCTCCAAGACGGCACGGTATCATCGCGGCCAGTCGCAAATCTACTGACCACCCAACCGCCAAGGGGCCAGCCATACAGATCTCTCTCTCGAACCACTGCGTGGGCTTTCTGGCGGCATATTGCCCCGGCTCAAACGCTGGGAGAAGGGGAAAATGTAAAAATAGATCGACGGACACAGAAACCGGCAGATATTGCCTCGCCCGGATGTGTGCGATGGCGTGTTGATGTCGCAGTTGCTGCGACTGCGGGCGTGGAAGTGACGCTGGGCTGGGAATCAGGCAGGCAAAGAGCGGGTAAGTAATTAAAGCATATGGTTCACGGGGCGGTAGAGGAGGCCGTCCCTCTTCCAGGTGCCAGCGCCTTAGACATCACGCCCACATCCCATCTCTGCCTGCTTCTACATTACATTACATTACATTACATTACATTGCACTCATTACATTCGCATTAGACCTCATAGTAGGCATGGCAAGGAAGATTATCCCACCCCCTCTCACACCCCACCATCAGCACCCACCTCCTCCCCTAAGCAGAGCTAGTAGAGGTCAAACCAAGTTCCTAATTACATACCTGCTCCCTACCCGCTACCTTGCTACCTACGTAGTATAATAATAACCTACGCAAGGCCGTGAGCGACTACTTTTACTAGGCCCCTACCACCAGCCAAGCCCCCTGGTCATCTCCAGCTCCCGTGGCTGGCACACAGTTGCAATTCCCAACGTCCTACAGCCCTACCTGGTTTGCCCAGCATCCCGTCCCGTCCCCTTTTCTCGTCCTTCCCCTCCCTCCCTCATAGGCGATCGTGCACTCGGCCAGATTGGTTTTGAAAGGACTAACTCTCCAGTCCATTCTGGTCGTTGCGGCTCTCCGTCAACCTGATACATCACCTGCCCGCTGCCCGCCACAGCCGCTCCTTCCACAACCCATTCCCGCCCCTCCTCCACCGCCGCCCCGAACCTCAGAAACGGCCTGCAGCCCGCGACGCTTTATTTTATTGCGCTCGCTCCCTCTCGACTCAAAACGGCCCGCGCCCTACCATAAACCCATAGATTGCCATTTATCTTCTTTTTTGCCCCTTTTCTTCTTTGCTTCCATAGCATCGCCTCTACCGGGCCCTCTGTCGACCTCTAGCCTGCTCACCTGATACCCTGATCATGGCCGACGAGAAGCCGTCGGTCCTGATCATTGGTGGCCTTGGCTACATTGGCCGGTTCCTCGCCCTCCATATTCACAAGAACAACCTGGCTTCTGAAGTGAGGCTGGTCGACAAGGTCCTGCCGCAACTGGCCTGGTTAGCTCCAGAGTTCTCCGAAGCA